GTGTGTGTGTGTGTGTGTGTAAGTGCGTTGTGTTGTCATAACCTTAAAATGTGTCACGAAGCAGTGGACTCAGGAGGCCATCAGTTTTGGGGCATATGGAGTTACTGGTATAATCTTAAAGTATGTTCCTTTACGTTGCTTTTGATGAAAAAAATACCCATCTGTCTTGATGGATGTCGGCATATTTCCGATTGAAGAGGTTAGGGTCGCTTAGTATCAGGGCACAAATTACCCAGAAAATGGCCGCCAAAGTTTTGTGACTTCCAGAGTTGTAGTATCCATGGAAACTACAAATTTACCATTTCTTGCGCCTTTGCACAATGTTTTTCAATACAACCCATGCAGGAATGTGTCTTAACACTATCCGTACGTCGTGTTTTACTTTGGTGTCCGTACGATGTGAGGAACTCTGTGCCATAACTTTCCAAAGAAGAAACTTAATTGAGAAATACTGGAATTTTCAAAGAGATCTTCTCACTAAAAGTATTCTAAACTGTGAAGAATACAATCCCGGGGTACAAAATGACCCCCAGGGCGTACGGATAGGTTTAAAGTGGACATAATATTAACATTCATGTTTCTATGACTGAGTTCATCCCTCGTTCCAACTCTCCCCACGTGCCAGAGTTCCGCTACACTGACGCCATATCCCGCGCCGTGAGCAACATCTCGCTCCTGGACAGCCTGGTCCAGGCTGACTGGGTTCCCTCTGATGACGCCCTTGTCTTCGTGGACAACCACGACACACAGAGGTCGGACGACGGCACTGCCTTCAACTTCAAGGTACCGCGCAGAGATTTTACAAAGTTCTAAGTGCCTCAAAGTACCGTGCAGAGATCACTACCTTAGAATTACAAAGTTCTAAGTGCCTCAAGGAACCGCGCAGAGATCTCTACCTTAGAGTTACAAAGTTCGATTTGAATCTGATGACATCTTTGGCCGTTATGAGTCACTAAGACCGTGAGGTTAGAAACCAAGTTCTATCTGCTCTTTGAAATAGTAAGATTATTCGGAGTCGTTATCAAGATATCCAAAGAATTGCATTAAAAAGGCTTAATTAACAAGTTGTGAATTTTCTCAAACTAGGTACTGAGCACGTCTCTCTCTCTCTGTCTCTCTCTCTGTCTCTCTCTCTCTCTCTCTCTCTCTCTCTCTTTCTTTCTCTCTCTCTCTTTCTTTCTCTCTCTCTCTCTCTCTCTCTCTCTCTCTCTCTCTCTCTCTCTCTCTCTTGCCCTTTTTAACTCCCAGTGGAGCATAGGTGATCAACAACATTTCTCCAGCTTCGAAGCCTGTCTTGTGCGTCCTTTTCTAGCTGTTTCCATGATGTCCCCGCCTTTTCCATTTCCGCTTGTACCGCTCGCCACTATGTCATCTTTGGTCTTCCTTTCCGTTTTCCTTGTGGATTCCACGTCAATGCCTCTCTGATGATGCTTGTAGGGGGTCTCCTCAGGGTGTGTCCTATCCATTTCCAGAGACCACTACCTTAATTAGAATTACAAAGCTCTGTCTAATGACATCTTTGACCGTTTTGAGTCACTTAGACCATGAGGCCAGAAAACAAGTTTTATCTATTCTGTCGAAATAGTAAGATTGTTCGGAGTCGGTATCAAGACATCCAAAGAACTGCTTTAAAAAGGCTTAACAAGTTGTGAAACTTAAAATCTCTAAAGTCAAATGTCTCAAAACTAGATACTGAGCTCGCAGAACTTTGAAATTCTGGGGTAGCGAAATATTCCGATTATATTGTACATGTAGTGCGCCGTTGACCCATTTCGAAACGTATTTAAATCTGATTCTAGCCTTGTTGACCCGCATTTGACTCTTTGTTTATAATTTTCCGATTTTATATATCTAGATCATATCTGAAGTATCTCAAGTCTTGTTTGTTTATGACTAACAATGCGAAAACGCACCCCTCCCTTAAAAATAGGCATAAATAATAACCGAGGAAAGAAGAAAAAACCCAACAGAATCCAGTGAGAGAATTAATGGTCATGTCTTTTTCTTTCAGAGCCCCAATCCATACACTCGAGCAGTGGCCTTCACCTTGGCCTACAACTACGGCTTCACTCGTATCATGAGCAGCTACTACTTCCTGTACCGCTCACAGTCGCCGCCCCATGTGGGCGGGGTCACCAAGGACGTCACCATCAACGCTGACGGGACTTGTGGGAACGGCTGGGTCTGTGAGCATAGGTGAGTGACACCCCCCCCTCCCCCCACCCCTAAAAAAAATCAACACGTGAGTGGCACAACTACAGCACGCATCTCTTTGTTCTATCCATCTGTCTATCTTTCTTTTTTTCTCTCTTCCTCTCTGTCTGTCTGTCTGTCTGTATGTTTGTCTGTCT